AAATAGGAGCACTATTTATCAATCTGTAATAAAAGACGTGAGGAAATGCTGTCTTTTTTAAAGACAAAAATTTTTGAAACGAAATACCCAACAAGAAGTTTGTAAAAAAATATAAGATTTTTGCTTTCTGTTGACTTTGAAACTGGTGCAAGGTCCTTTTGAAGCTATTAAAATTATTATTTTTTGTTATTCACAATTAAAAAAGTTACAATATAAAACTAGTGTATTAACATATATCCATATTTTTTTTCAACTATTGAACTGCTAAACTTTAATATCTCTTTCAAAGAAACTTTTGAAACTTTCTTTTCAAGGAAAACCGCCTCGGGAAAAGTTGCCTCAAAAATGTTTGACTTAAAAGAAAATTTCCTGGTAGTTCTCTACCCTCTGGTTCTCCCGGTTCCTTCTGAGGCCTCTGCTTCTCGAGATAGTTCGTAGGCAAAGTGTAAACTAAATTTTCGTTTTTCAATAGATTTTTTCCCAGTTTAACTATCCCCAAAAAGTGTCTTTGGCAGGTTTTTAGATCGCAGCAATCAAATGATTGGGAAATTTTCCTAAAGTGATTATTTTCATAATCGAATAATTGGATTTTCCCCATCACGAAAATGCATGGGTGCGGTTTTCAAGCAATTTCATGCAGGCCGAAAAATACTTTCAGAGCAAAAACCGACTGAGAAATAGACATATTTTTAGGTGCAACGCAGTTTTCTTTGAATGAACCATAGCTTTGCTTCGGCTCTATTTCAGAACTGTTGAACCGATTAAAGCGCATGCTTTTAAGCGACTCTTTCTGGTAACCGCGCATGCTCTGTCAGCTCTAGAACGGTTCTGAAATAGACAATGTATCAACGTCTACAAAAAATCAAGTAAAAAACGGCACAAAGAAAAACATTCAGATTATTAGTAAATTCACCTTTGGAGAATGTGGGGAATTTTGGTGCGCTGGTGGTGGGCTACTCCTGTTATAGTAAGCCCTTGCGTCCGCCATCTGTTGCGTTAGTAAAAAAAGCGAAAATTTGTTAGTTGCACGAAAAACGTGTTGGCACTAGTTCAATGTAAAATCGGGACAGTTGGCAATAAAACCTCAAAAATTTGATAAGCACTCAAATCAACTTACCAAACTAGCTTCGTAGGTAGGGACTGGTAAGCCGCCGCTTAAACGAGGCTGCTGACCTGACGGACTCAAGTTCGGCCGGCCCAACATCATGGGCATGTTCACGTCTATTTTGGAGTTCTCAATCACCCCTTTGCCGTGGTGGATCTGTTCGTTCCTCAAGGCTTTGCTTACCGGATGGTTGGAAATCTGTGCAGGCATGTGTTGCTGGAGCAGGTTCGAGTGAACAGGCTTAGACATCACTTTATTCGCACTCTTCGCTTGTTGCTTGACGAAGTCCAAGTGACTGTTTAGAGGATGGACATCGTGCTCAGTCAGGTGGTCTCTGGCTTGAAGCAGATGTCTTTCATTCGCCAGCTTCAAGTCTTGGCCTGGAGAATGCATGGGCGCTTTCACCTGCGGCTTCACCTCCGCAACAGGCGCTCCCGGTCTAGGAGAAAGCGGACCGACGCCGCCTTGCAGATTGGCTGCAGCTGGAACCGATGATGAACCCGGAGTTCCACACTTTGCAATGTGAACAGGGGTACTACACTTGGTGCCCATGATGCTGGATGGAGACGCGAACTGTAGGACGTTGTCTCTGGGTTGTGACACTGGATTATGTAGGACAGAAGTTTTATTGCTCGGCGCCAGATCAGTCACCACCGCCTTAGCTGCTTGGCTGTTTAACACGTGCGCCTTCAAAGTGTGAATCTTTGGCGTGGACTGTTGAACGACTGTAACCGGGTGCGATTGAGCGATCACACTAGGTTGCATTTTAGCATTGTCGTTGGCTTTCGCCTCCAAACACAAATCACTGACTACTGATGGAACAGCATTCGGCTTCTTGTCTGCCAGCAAAGTTCCCGGCAATGGAATGTACTTGCCTTCTTCGCTCTCCCGCATCGGGATCAACATGCCCGTGACTGGATCGATCAGCTTGGTGGGCTCAGGCTTGTTGGCATTCATCTCACCCTTGAACCGCTTGAGCATAACTGTTTTCAAACTGCAATGATCCACTTTCTTCTCTTTAGTGGCTTCGGGTGGAATCGGCTCTACAGGCTTGGTGGTGGCGACTTCCACTTTTGGCTTGGATGGTACAGCGATAGGAGCTGGCGGAAGCGGGGCCGCAGCAACAGGCTTGGTGTTCTCCTCTTTCAGATCTTCACTGGATGAATTTTCCGTTGATTCAGATACTCGGCGATTAGGCTTGCGCCCTCTGGGACTTTTGCGAGGCGGGTCTGGCTCCTGAACTACCACGGGCAGTTTCTTTTGCTGCCGCCCCGATCTTCTTTGATTGGCTGCTGCCCTGGTGAGCGGCGTGTTCTTGATAACGTCTTCTATCGTATCATCCACTGTGTTTCTAAAAACGTCTTTTTCGGCCAGCCGGCGTGACTTTCGGGTGTTTGAAGTCTGCGGCGAAGTGAACTCGTCTTTGGGTTCCGGGTTGGGTGGCGAATGAAAGGCCTCTTGGACTTCTTTGGCAGAGTCCTTTTCCTTGACTTTCGGCTGGACAGTGTCCTTCACTTCCTTTCCAATCTCCTTAGCTCCGTCCTTAGTGATTTCCTTCACAATGGTGGTGGTTTGTGCGTTGCTTGTGCTGGAAGTGGTCGACTTGATGGTCAACACCAAGCGGGGTCGCTGTTCTTTGTTGCAATCATCCGAGTCCTCTCTGAACTCGTACACGTCGTTCGTCGTTGAATCCGACTCGGATTTGCTAGATTTTCGTTCGGAGCGCACCTTTCCTCCGCGGCCACGCTTGATGTTGGGCACTGCGGCGGCTCCTTGCGCTGCCTCCTTTTGCTTACCGCGCCGCGTCTGAATCCCCCCGCGCTCCAAAGTGGGCTTCGCCACTTTATTGTTGGCTCTGGGCCTTCCACCACGGCCCCTCCGAGCGCTACTTCTGGTTACGGATGTTTCGGTTTTCGGGTCGTTTTCGATGTCGGCCGGCTCATTTTCAGCATCCTCGTCAACCTTCATATCGGCAACGGAAGCGTCGTCGTCGTGCTCTGCAAGTTCGACGGGTTCCGGCTCTTTTTTGCTTGACTTTGGCTCTGCTGCGGCTTGGTTGTGGTCACTATCAGACATCTCGTCTGCTGAGCCGAGCGTTTGAATGACCGACTCAATGTTGACCGAGTCTTTTGCTGACCAGAACTCATTGTCCTCCTTAGCTTCAAGGGTTTCCTGCTCCTTGGTCACCTTCTCGGCTAAAGCATGAGCGGCAAGGTTGGCCGGTTGAACTTCGGGGTCTTTTTGGGTTGTTCTCGGAACAGTAGTGGGCTCCTCCGCTTTAACTGTTGGGTCTTTTGCTGGGGATGGACAAGGAGCAGATTCTCCCAGTTCTGGTCTGGGCTTTGCCGCATCCAGCTGAGGAGGTGGCTGTGCCTTGGGCACCTCCATCAGATCCTTTTCGGGTTTAACTGCGGGCGCCTGCTCCTTATCCGCAGCACTGGCTTCGGTGGGGATTTTACTAACAGGCAATTGAACAGCGACAATTGGTTCAGGATTGGGCACTAGAACAGGATTGGGGCTTGATGTTCGGTTCTGAACAGCTGGAACCTGCAAAGTGTCGATTTCAGGCACACTTTCTGCTGGAGCGGGAATATCTGCTACTGGCACACTTGGAGACCGTCGCTCAGGCGATGATGAGGCAGCACCAGACACACTTGGAGCTTCCGCGTTAATGACGGCCAAAGTACTGGGGCTCCGCCTTGGTGAGGATGGAGGAATTACAATGGCTTTGCTGGTAACTGGAGGAGGCGATTTTACAGCCAAGCTGTTCGGAGCAGAGCGAATGTCGGTTAATATCAAATGTGGAGCAGTCACAGCTGCAGTCGTTTTGATGCTGTTAGAATTCGCGTGCTGATCGGCTGGCTTCGAGTCAGGCTCGGTACGAATCTGGGATTCTTTCTTGAGCAGTTGCAGGGGCACAAACGGCGGAGGGGAGTGCAGGCCCATATACTGCCCGTAAGCGGAAGGATTGATTTGTCTGCTGGGCACAAAGTGCGCATTCGGAGGGAAATGTCGGATATCACCTTGCACTAACATCCTTGCCGGTTGGCCGGGCGCAAACGCCTTGTAAGGTTGCATTCCCGATGGGTGGAAGATCATTCTGGGTCTCTCCTGCCGAAGCTCTGCAGTTGATATGAGCTTTGGAGGTTCAGATGAATGTGCCACGATGGGTTGAGGCAAATAGATAGTAGCAGGTTGAAGTGGTTTGGTCACAATAACTGGAGTGATGGGCAGCCTGCTCAAAGCTGGACTGTTTGAGGCCTCCGGCGCAACTGGCTTGCAGGTCGGGTCAGGTAAGCGGGCGGGTAAATTATGACGGCTTTGTTGAATGGCAACGACTGAAGATGTGGATGGCTGAACCACTGAGGGTGCTGTAGTGATAGTTTTCTGATTGACCAATGGAGACAGTTTTGCTAAGGGAGGATATAAAGGTTCATTGATCTTAATCGTCGGCGGTGCGGCAACAAACTGCTTTATTTGCGGTTGCACCACTTGAGACTGAGCTGGTACATCAACCACTGTAATTGCCGGCTTAGCTGTTGGATTCTCTGCCAAAACCGGTTTGCTCAGAACAACTTCCTTTCGTTCACCAGACCACGTCTGCGATATGACAGTTTGCTGTGGTTGTTGCTCGCGTTCAACCAAAACATTAATACACTCAGCTGGTTTCATCGGTTTCTGATCCGCTTCAGAACTGGGCTCCGATTTTATTGGAGATAAAGACGGTGGACTGCTCAACGACTTGAAAGCTAATGGAGAAGTGACTTTATTACTGCCACTACATACTGGAATAGCTGCAGGGATTTTCTTGGTATTTTGGAAAAGTTCAACAGTTTTCGCCGTTTGGTCAGCAGCTTGAGTACTTTCATCTGGTTCCTCAGTGTCTGTGTCGATTTGCAACTCATGCTCGCTCTGAGGAGTATCTGGTTTGGAAATTTCTCCTTCCACCTCAAGACTTTGAACCGCTTTTCTCATCTCCTCGTCGTCCTGGACGTTTGGCTCCTCGACCAACTCTGGCACAACCAGTTCAGTGGTAACTGTAATGTCTTCGTCATAGCGCTCTTCAAATTGGCAGCCTCCAAAACTTTCGCCTAATAGAGCGGCCACAGCATCTTCTGTTTCTTCCTGCGAGATAACCACGCGAGTTTTGTCCTGCGAAGAATCCGCCAGCAGCTCTTCAGTTACATCTGTCTGAACCAGGGGTTCCTCCACTTTAACTTCAGGCTTGATGATTCCAGAAATTGACTTCACCGCATTCTCGTGTATGACTTCATCAATTTCAGTACCAAACCCAGGAATTTTCGATTGCTTGTCTCGTTTCGTTTTCGATGTTCCAAGACTTGAATTTTGTAAAGAGTTTACACTAGGATTGACTACAACTTTGTCAAACTTAGGAGGAGACTTTTCGGTTGTTGGGCTTTGAATGTCGTCCAGATTAGGCAGACTTTGGCTGTGACTACTGGGTGGAGTACTAGGAACTTCCCTTTCCGTAGCTACACCAGGTTCGATCTTGATATCGGACAAGTTAATAATCAAAGGCGACTCTGAAATCTCGTGTTTCACTTCCGGGGTTTTCACTTTGTTTTTCTCGTGGTGATGATGATGATGGTGATGCCGTTTCTCATCTTTGCTCTTTTTGCGCTTTTTCTTCTTCTCTTTGCCCTCCTTTCGATCTTCCTTTTCTTTCTTTACGTCTTTGTCCGCCTCATTAAATGTGTCGGAAGTTTCCAGATTACTGCTGCTGATCTCAGTATTGTAGTTCCCTTCGGGAGCGTCATCCTTGATGTTGGCTTCCAATTGCTTGCACATGTCTGCGAAATCCATGCTGTTATCATTGCTATTTGGTGGTTCCTCTGCAGCAGCTGCAGCTGCTTCCGCAGCCGCTTCTTGAAATCGACGTTCTTTTTCTCTGCGCTTTTTCTCTTTTCGTTTCTTATGTTCAGCTTCCCTGTCTTTCTCTTCTTGAATCTTCAGTTGTTCTTTATCTGAATCGTTGTTATAAAGCTGTGCAGGTTGAGCATTCTCATCAGGTCGAAACTCATCAGGTCGAAATTCTGATTTTTGCAACTTAATTCCAGCTTCGGAGTCTTCGGACAAGGAGCCGAATATATTTTCCATTTTACCGTCGCGCTTGGTTTCGCTTTTGTTCTCACTTTTGCTCTTTTTGGCTTTTTTCGGCTTGTCTCTGCTGTCCTTTAATTTGTCCCGCTTCCTGTCCTTTTTGGAATGATCTTTCTTTTTGTCGTGGTGCTTTCTTTCTTGCGCGCCCGGCGACTCCGACTCAAATTCCAATTTCCCCGACTCTTCATTCGAAAGGGAATGCTTCTGCTTCTTCTGCTTTTTCTTGTGTTTCTTTTCTCGTTTCTCAGATTTTTCCTTCTTCACTTCGGGAAAATCATCATCGCTAGTGTTGTCGAATAGAGATCTGCTGTTAAATCTGTCTATTTTCACTTCGGATGATTGGGAGTGTAATACATCAAAGCTTTGCTGTTCCGGGGAGGTAAATTCTTGGAATTTGCTATTTCTTCGTTCCTTCTTTACTAGTCGCTCGAGTTCGGTCTTTACAGAAGTGAGTTTTTCGGGCTTGATTTCTAGTTCTCCTTCAGTGTCGTTTTCGAATAACGACGCTTTTGGCTTATCTGTTGCATTTTCATGATAATCAATCGAAGGCAATTTGTTGTTAGTCGGATGTCGTTGGTAATCCTCTTCTGAACTATCGCTAGTTATTTTTGATTTTGAGCACCGTAACGGCTGCTGTTTTAACTTAATGTCTTCGTCTGTCGTTTCGGTTGGCTCCATTTTAATATGTCGAAACGAATGTCGTAACGAATTATCGGAATCGCTATAGATGGTATCTTTTTGCTTGTACGAGGTTTTATGATCCTCACTTTCATCCGAACTATCAAGCAATTTTCTGCCTCTTCGGCATTTTATTTCGGTGTCTTTATCGGAATCCGAATCTTCATCCCATGAGTTTGACCGTTTCTTTTCTTCCCGCCTTGCCCTACTGAGTTTCAGCTGACTGAACTTGGCTTTGATTTTCTCCTGCCTTTTCTCCTCTTCCTGCTTTTGCATGTTTTTGCAACTTCTGGCTTTCACTTTGTCGTACATGGAAATATATGGAGGGCCATCGTCGACAATATCAAAAATTGAATGTTTCTTTGGCTCGTCAGAGTCACTATCCGAGCTATTAGTAAGTTTTCTGATGCGATCTTTTTTATGAATTTTGTCAAATCTCTGTTTATCTTCCTGGGGTGATCTCAGGAGATCTTTAATTTCCAGTGACGCTGGTTTGTCTTTCTTAGTCCTGTCCTCACTTTTCTTTTCCTCTGAGCGTTTGTCCGCATCCGTTGTATCCTTGTTACGTTTCTCCCTCAAAGCTTCACGCTTCTGTTTCTCTTGCTTTTCCTGTTCGATTTCTTCATTACTACGTAAATTAAATGTCGCTAAAAAGTCTTTGTCGTTCATTGATATATTATTAGCTGGCGCTTCAACTGGTGATTGGTGCAGTTCCCTACCCTCTTTTTCTTTGCTTTTACTTTTAGATTTCTGTTTTTCTAATTTATGTCTGTGCTTGTGTTTGTCTTCCCTATCTTTGTCTTTCCGCTTGTCCTCACCTTCCTTCGAACTGCTGTGTTTGTCGTAATTGGGCATAGAGTTGTTCTTGTGTTTAGGCTTTTTAGATCTGTCGTCGCTCTTAATGCTGTCTCTTGAATCTCTCCTTTCCGAAACTCTCTTAAACTCACTGAGTTTACTTCGTTTCGCATCTTCGGGCATTTCTAAACCATCCTGAACACTAATTCGCCTTTTTATACCTACATGGGTAGGTAGACTGTTATTGCGCTCCTTTCGTCGATTGGGGTCCTTGTTGACTTCTACTTGATTTTTGAGGTCAAGATCCAAAGACATGTGTCTGGTTTCTAATATTGCTCTATCGCTGACATCGTTATTTAGATATTTAACTCTGTCGTGGATATTATTATCTCGGTTCTCCTTGATGCTCTCCTTTCGTCTTTCAGCATCTCGCTCGAACTGAGCTTTGCTATTTTCATGCTTATTGACGTTCTCTTGGTAGACTTCTCTCCTCTGTAGGTCTTGATTGGCATTGTCTTTCCTAAGAGAATCGTCCCGAGTCGACTTGATGTCCTTCGATTCTTTGGTAGATGGTTGGTTTTCTTGTTGGTGCTTTTCCGATGGATGGGTGTTGTTTTCTCGATGCTTAAGTTCACTGTGATTTTCTCTATGCTTGCTACTACGTTCATGATGATTGTCTGAGTCTTTATTTCTATTGTTTACTCTATCTTCACTTCTCCTGCGTTCTTTTTCTTTGGCACTTCGATGGTCCTCTTTTGCCTTTTGCTCCCGTTCCTCCTTCTCCCTTCGTTCAGATTCTTTTAGTTCTCTCTCAAGCTTTTCTTTAAGGTCGCGTTCTTCGCGCTCTTGGTTCTCACGTTCCTCTCTTTCACGTCGAAGATATTCCTCTTTTTCTCGTTTGTCCGCTTCCACTCGTTCTCGTTCGAGTTTCTCCTTCTCTTGACTCTCTTTTTCTAGCCTGGCTATCGCTTCCTTCTCCTGGCGAATTCTTTCTCGCTCTGTTTCTTGTTCTTTCGCCCGTTCGCGCTCTATTGCTTCGCGCTGTATTCTTTCTTTTTCCAGCCTGTCTTCTTCCAGCCGTTGTTTATCCAATTCGCTCTCTCGCTCCAATCGCTCTTTTTCCCTCCGCTCGCGCTCCAGCTTCTCCTTTTCAATTCGTTCATTTTCTAGGCGCTCTTTCTCCTCTTGCTCCTTCCGGTGTTTCTCAAATTCTTCTTTGGTCTTATCAACAAGCTTTTGCTCTTCTATTTTCGACTTTTCACCGTCCTCTATTCGCCGAGCACTAGTATCACTATTACGTCGTGTTTTCACATCCGCCCGAGGACTGGTGCTGCACGAGTTCCGCCTTAGGGATATTTTCTCACTGGGTTTTGGTTTGCCCGCACTAGATACGTCACTAACTACTGGAGCTACACTACGATTTTTTACGCTAGAAGTTCGTGATTCACCGGGAACATTCACCGTCGATTTCAGTCTATTTTCACCGAGGCTCGGGTTCCGCACAGTGACGCTTGTACTTAAAGTGGTGACTGGGGGGGTGGAGAAACTTGTAACGATGGGCGAAGTCGTCGGGGCCGGAGACATCGGCATGGGTGGATGGCTGGGAAAGGGATACTGAAGCCCTCTACTTGCTGAGATGGGCAAAGGCGTACCTGAAATCATTTTGCCTTCTTCGATACGAAATGGGTAGAATAAACATTGCCTAAATAACAATCGTTAATCATTTTAAACCCTAACGGAAATCGTCATTCTCGATTAACAAACAGATAGGAATTGCAAACACTTGAATGGTTCAAAAATTAAGCGCCAAGCGCTTCCTTGATTCAGTGTGTTGGTGAAGCTCACAAGAAGTAGAACTATTTCGTTCGAAAGACTTGCTTCGGGGTGATAAAGAAATATTCGCTGATAAGTGAGGCATGTTGCCATCATCTCAACATTCTAGACTAAGTTGATAGAATATAGAATCAACTTACCAGAAGACCTAGGAGATAACATGGTTGGTGTTTTAGGCAACTGAGTACTGACCGAGGTAGATAATTTCAAAGACGACGCCACTACCGCCACAAGAGCAGTGGTGTTGGGGTTACTAACTGCTGATGATAAGGAGATGGGTTGGGTGGAAATCGCCGGCAGACGACTGGAACAAAACGAAAATGTGCCGAAAGTTCAGCCAATCAAAACCAGGCCATGAACTAACCAGAATAATCCAAAGTCCTTCGGCTCGTACTTTTCACCCACGCTCTCCAGCCGCTTTAAATCTTCATCGAATACCGATCGCTTGGCCATCACTGACTTCACTATCTCCGACGGCTGCACTTCCTTGAGATCTTGGATTTCCAGGAGTTTATGTCTGGATCGGAACTTTTCAAGGCTTGCGTCCAGTAGAGCCAAGGGATCGTTCCCGGTAGCGCTGAATGCTCTACTGCCAGACCACTTTTCGTATTTCTCGTCCAACGATCTGAAACAAAACCAACAATAATTTCGTGTAAACACAATCAACAGAATAACCGAACTTAATAAAGACTTACTTAATCCGCTCCTCCAGAGACGGACTTCCAGTTACCCCATCGCTGTCGCTCGAGTTTGAGCTCATACTGGGCGGGCGAGGCGGTGGAGAAGCCGGGGGCGGCACATGGAGAAGCGGACTGGGCGGCCGGGGCGCATGATGTTGCGATATCCTCGGACTAGTCGCGGCTGGTGGCGGGCTCGCCAGCGGATTGGCATGCTCCTTCTGGCCCTTGATTCCCGATACGGAAATGGTTCCCCTTTGGAACTCCACCAGCGCTCGAACCTGCGCCGCCCATTTGGGGAGCGGCAGCATCATCGGGCCCTCACCTCTTTCTCGAGTGGTGCGCTTTGGCGGTTCTCCCGGGGGAAACTCTGGGTTCTCATCGCAAAGCGGCGTGCCGGGTCGGGAGCCTGGCTGATCGGACCCATCAGAATTTTCCGGCTGAAATAAAAAAAACTAAATTCTACTATAGCCTAGCCTGAGCGTTTGATGTGCCTCTTTGAAAATAAGGGTTTAGTTAATGTACCTACACAAATGTAACTAGAACAAAAAAGAAATTAAAACGCTCCATGCGGGCTAGGTGATTTGACGTTAATTCTTTTTATTTTGCTCAACAATTTACTGTGAAATAAATATTATTATCATTGTTATTATTACGTAATGAGCGTGAGTTCCCGTCTTGACTCCTCCATCGCTTCCCCCAGTTCTCCGCCTCTTGCAGCCCACTGTATGAGGAGGATAGTGACCATATTTGTTATCAACTGAAGGTCGTCGTGTATGGTGCCGTAAAGTCGTCTCGGAAAGCCTCCTCACTTCCAGTACCTGTACGAAAAATGCACGTAGTAATTGCTAATAAGTACCATAAATCAAAGTACGACCAGTCTCCAATTTGATCTTATTGTAACAATAAGAGTGACCACAACAGAAAAAATTGATGTAAAAATCGTTTCAAGCCAACCGGGCAAAGTGCTGAATGTGATTGTTAGTTACAAAGCGAAGCAAATAGGATCGAAGCAACTGAATAGAATTTGCACAGAC